AGGAGAACCAAAGCCAAGAGCTTCAGAGGCTAGAACTGTAGGTTAATTTCCATTTTGCAGCCAGAGACATTTTTCCAAATTCCTCCAGAGAGATTCTCAGGTGAAAAGGGAAACAATTCCCAATGGGCTGAGGCATCTGTTTTGGGAAAGTACTTCAACACATGAATGCAGTCCTTAGTCCAACTAATTCAGTTCACTGGGGAATGAATAGCTATGGAAGGGAAATGAGGTTACACAAGCATAAAGTGAGAGCAGAACTCGGTTGCATTCATCCATCTTCTTTCATCTTATATTTAGACTGCACCATTTCCAGGCACAAGTGGGTGTACATACATAATTTCTCCACAGCCATTAAATAGCATAATGTAGCCCTGATCAGCACTGGGACCTCCAAAATTGCTGTAACACCTACAAAGGAGGCCTTAAGTAAATAAATACCTGTGCCCCACAAGACAGGACTAATTGTTTTTTCATTCAATGATGAATTCTCTAGGACAGCGGTTCTGAACCTTTTTCATTCGACATACCCCTTGGTCTCAGAGTGAGACTTCACGTACCCCCGAGAAGTGATGTTTCTGGTGCAAGGTTGAGGCATGGAGCAGGAGTAGGATGTCTGGTTTCCATGTGCATGTGTATTTTACAGCAGTAAAACCACAGCAATTTCAAAATCTCAAGATTTTTTTTAGGCCTTTCAATCTGTGTTAGACAATGTATGAACTATATCTCATGTACCCCGATGAGGCTTCACGTACCCCCGGAGGGTACATGTACCCCCACTTCAGAACCGCTGCTCTAGGACATTTTCTCTGGCCAGCTTGAGGAATATCGTTAAACTACTTCCTATATCCTACAATTCAGATGCCACATTAAAACAAACACCAAATACATTTGTTATTTGTTATGAAATTTATGTTTTCCTCTCAAGGTACAAGAATTAGTACTATCCCTGTTTCCATGTTTAAATTACACATCAGGAGCATTCTATACTTACGTGAAACTAACACAGATCAAAGATCACATGAACATCCTAAAGACTGAAGTTCACTACTGTTAGAAATTGTGCAGAAGCAGCAACCTTCCACCACAGAACACTACCACAACCATTTCAGCCCCAATTTGAGGATAAGACCTTAGAATAAAAGGAGGACTTCAGTCTTTTAGTCTAGTTATTCCCTGGACATGTCTGGGTGTGTCTGTAGGTCAGAATATCAAGTGATGGTGATTTTGATGACCCAGACATTTGCTCACTTCCCCATCCCCATAGCGTAGCATTTCCAAGCAAGAAAGGAACAGATGAATGCAGGGATGGGGGTAGAATATCAGGGCATCACTTTATGCGACGAGGCTTGAGAAAACATTTTTCCTCATGAAAGTGAGTATTCTTTACACTTCAGTATGGCAATCATCATTGCACAAGTCATTTTGCTGGGAGTTCTCTAAATTCCTAGAGACAGTTACAATTTGCTTGGTTACTTCTGCTATCTGTTCTTCTAACAAAATAGTAGACAGAAAATCATCAGTAGCATATTGGGTATTTTTAAAATTAATGTTAATGTTTTGATGCTTTTAATCCATATGAAAATGCAAACATATTTAACATTCTGTATTAAACGCATGCATAAAGCTCAACTATCCTTCAGATGAATGAACCATGCAGCAGAGATAAGCAGTAAACATTAAATAAGGTTACCATTTGTTTAAATGACAGTTGCTTAAATAAAACTGATTGTAACTCGATTAAGAGACCTATCCAATACCACCAAGTGAAAGATGACTCTCTACACACATGGGCATAAGCATATATAAAGTGCATGCAGAATATTTTATAGAAAGTCATAACTTTAAATGCCTCATTGTGTCTGCCACTGTTTTGTTCAAACCTTCCCCTCTACAGAATGCCATTATGAGCACATCCCTATAATTATATCACATTTCATATATTTTCAGTTTTTCTTGCTAAGATGGCAACTTTCTCTTGCCATTCCCAGTCCTTTAGAACCTCTCTCTACCTCATCTCACCCTCTGTGTCTTTAAAGCAGTACTCCTGAGGTTCCTCTCCTCTCACTTGCTTGGACACAAGTTTGACCAAAAGTTCTAACATGTTTATTATAGCCTTATTCCATATTTCTGTTTGAATATTACATTTATTTAGAACCAATTCATACCATGCAACTTCTGAAGACTCCTTGAGAAATCTACATATTATTCTAGTATATTGTTATAGTATCAATCATATACTCATTAGCACTGATAGCAAATGGATGTAGCAGGTGGCAACACTTAAAGCTGCATGCCAGAAAACTAATGCCCTACTTTGCACTTAACAGGCTTTAAAATCAATTTTATGGGGACATCATCTCAGACCTTTTCCTGGATAAAATATGGATAGCGGAATGCTGCATCTTAATTTTTATGTGCACTAAAATGAAATTAAAGTGCAAAGGCAAACCTTGAAGTGCTTGCTATACTGTAAGAAGCTATGAAACTTTACATTAAAGTTTTAAAGCATCTAAATGCATGATTCTATACTGTACCATACAGCAATTACAGTACCACTGCAGTACATAGAGAAACATTAGATAGTCATTTTTTCCCCTCAATATTCAGCATAAATTTCTTCTTTAGTTATTCATTTCAAGCCTCTCTCACAGATTCATATACCACACTGAATAATTCCTCACCCTCTCTGGTATTCATCCAGCGGAAATTTAACAGGTCATATATCATTGTTTAGCTTATTCAGCTCTATAAGTCTTCCCTCCTATATCAACCCCCACAGCACCTAATCCACTTGTTGCACTCTGACTGAACTCCCTTCAGTTTGTCAATCTGGCTGGTGCAGCAGGGCCCAGAACCACAAACCAGCCACACAGAAAAGGGTAATTGGTTACCAGCCCCAAGCTGTGGTGTTTTTTCAGCTTCAAGTCATACTAATCTTGCTTACAGGCTCCTTAAATTCATTTCTAAAGCGTTGTTCCATACAGGGATGCCCCACATGTATTGCAAAATGAACAAGGATGGCATGCTCAGCTTGGAGCACTTCTCCAGATGATACAATGACTAAGAGCTTTATTCTTCCATGTAGCATGCATTGTAACTTCCTGTGGTACCTAGGAATGTGGAGAACTAAGTACAAGTAGTCCTACCAGTGTCACCAGGACCATTCACACATGTAAATGATAAGCACACAGATGGTGTTTCTAGGATCAAGGCCCTAAGCTTGACAACATAGCATTTTTGGAGTAGCCTAAAACTGAATAAGCTTATCACCTGCTGACAGTCTCAATGACACACTTATGGCAGGGGAGCAGTTGTAGTCAATATCTACACTCTTGCTTGGTACTCTCAGTACGAGAGACAGTGGCATCTCCAGGTAACCCCACTGTCAATGTCATTGCCCACTGATCTTCTTTCATTTACAACCTCTTTCAGTTGCTGGCACTAGAGGTCCAAGTCACTTACCAAGACGGCAATATTCTTCCCTCACCTGCCTACCTTTCCAGCAAAGTAAGATAATAAAACTGGGGAAAATGCATTGGTGGGAGAAGACCAAGCAATCAAGCTCAGTGGATGCCTACCTTATTATCATTCCTTGGTTTCCAGCATTCCCATGAGTAGGGCCTGCTCTTTTACAGGGCGCACTGGGTTGATTTTCCTAAACTGAATCAGTTTATATCCCTCTACATCCCATCTCATTTTGTTTTTCCCTTTTCATATTTCTTATCTCCCTCAGCCTGCAAGAAATGTTTCTTTGCCCATGAACATAATGAGGAAGTAGGTCCTAAAAGGCTACTTGCTGGAGAAGGGGTGGGGGGTGAAGGCCACAGCACAGCTATGGCTTGAAACTTGCTCCAAAGCAGCCCATTGAAATTTGACATGCATTGAGTTACATGGAAACTCGCACACCTGAATTTGTGAATAGATTTTAAAAACTTAGTATATCTGTTAAAAACTACTACTTAGCTTGTTTTGGCCTTCCTTTAAAACCAGTTCAGTCTAACCATCCAAAAACTGCTACAGTAAAGGGAGCATCCTCTCACACACTGACAATTCAATTAGCAAATTTTCCTAATTCTGCCATTATACGCAAGAAGTTTCTCGGAAACAAACAAATGATTTTCTATAACACAGTTCAGCAAATAAACTAATGGCAGAGTTGCATCAACTCGTAGGCAGGTTCCAGCGTGTTTTCATTTTATGTAAAATCCCTCTGTGTCAATAGTGCTCAAACTTTCTGCTCAGTGATCCATATATGGGCTGGATCCAGCTGGTGGTCCTGATCCAGTGCCCAGAGAAGATGCAGCAGGGCCTCACCTGGCAACACCAAGTGGGGTGAGGGGCAGCCTGGCCCCAAACCAGCCTCACAAGGGAAGGGGGCTTGACCTGGCCCTGCAGAGGGTGGAATGGTGCTTGATGCAGCCCCAACCTGGCCCCACATTTGGGGGAGGAGGAGGGGAGGGAAGGACTAGCCTCTATCTGGCCCTGTGGGGGGAAGGGAAGTGGCCACAGGGCTTGGGATCTGGGAATTTGGTAGTCGGGGGGAGGGATCATAATGAAAGCCACTGATCCCCCACTGCCAAATTTATTGACCTGTTGGAGCGCCGTGAGCCAGATGCTATGGCTATACAGCAGGCTGCATTAGGCCCATGGGCTGGAGATTGAGCACTCTGCTCTATGTAGTTATTTCCATGCTTTCCATTCCAGCCCTGTTAACTAAATACTGAAAGCAGATTTCACTGTACGTACGTTTTGTGTCCATATACATATGTATACACACAAGCACACACTCCATTAAATTCCAACCTTCTTGTGATCACAGCTCAAGTGAAGTATTTAGAGACAAATTCTGTCCTTAAATTTACCAGTATTAACATTACATGATTCCTCTAAATTCAAGTCACTTTGAAGTTCCATTAGAATAACTGAGTTTTTTAACCTGCCTGTTAGACACCTTTTCCAAGTTTGGAGTTAAAGTCAATGATCCAGAAATTACTACTTACCCCCTTGCTGAAGGCTGCCAAGAATCTTCTCACCCAGCAAATGGATAAGTCGAGTCACAACCTATCAAGGGAGGAAGGATAAAATAAATACAAAGAAAACAACAAATATTTCAGACTAAATGCTTTGAAAAGAAAAATATCCTAACAGACAGTCTTAAGATTTATGAGACACAATCTTAAATAGAACATTGTTGGGAATTGCTAAGGTTACAGGGTTGTTTTGGGGTTTTGTTTTGTTTTTTTTTAATAAAAGCACAACTGCTCCAAGGGAAGCAATTATTTCCACTGCAAGGCATAGTGACAGATCATTTTTCCTGCATAGTTATCTGGTATATAGTTTTGTTTTACACTGACCTCTAAAAAAAATAGGTCATTTATAGCCTATTCTGCTAATAAAAGAAAAACACCTTTTCTGGAAATAATCCACGTCATTTCCACCTCTCTAATGTACACATACAGCATCTCTATATAAGAAGGAGCAGTCACATTAAAGTGATTTTTAATTATATACCATTTAAATTGCATGCTGTCTGCTCACCTGGATCCATATTACATAAGAAACCCCATTCAAACTGGTATTCCTATAGATCTCTTTGAATTAGCTCACATTCCTGATTGCAAGCAGCTTGGTAGAAGACACGGTAGATCTGCACCTTACAGACTAACCAACACAGGTGTAGGTATAGGTGCCTAATACTGTGCAGGCTATCCCAAATGAGGCAGCATCAGGGATTTATAAAATATAGTGACAGAATAGTTTTGTTTGTTTCTCAGGCCTGTTCCTTATTCATCCTCACATCTTGTTTGACCTTTGGATGGGTCTGTTGTGAAAGTATGTGCATAAAGCAGAGTATATGAAGCTGTAAGCTGCTCCTCACAGTATTATGGGCAAAGCAAACGCCTACTCAAAGCCCTGTATACTCTGGTAAGCTGAACTGCCTTTATGAAACTGTTGGGCATCTGGATCAAACCACTGTATTACATTCAAAAGTTCTTCTTAATCTAATTTCAAAATTGAAGGTTTATCTTTAAAAATAGTAATCAGTAGTTCTTTATAAGAACTATAACAGAGGGAACAGACAGATGTCATAATTGCACTGATATCCAAGGACTTTAATGCAAGCTGTTATGATGCAACTGTTCTATCTGCATGATTCTTTAGCAATAAACATGCTGCAAAAAATCACTCCAACTTTAAACCTGCTTCATTCTTGGTCAAAGGTAGGAAGATTTAGCCCACTTGTATTGATACTGAATAATGCAGGTGTAATGGTTACAATGCAACAGTTGTTGGATGCTGTTATACTGGTATAAAGGTACTGTGTGTCCGTGCCAATACATTTGCGATATAGATATCGATCTAGACATATAGATATACACATACATATCTATCTATCGATCTATCTAGATCGATATCAATTGATATCTGTCTAGATATCCACTGATCTATATCTAGACATATATCTCTACAGATATAGATACACACACACACAAATTATATATATATACGGGCTTAGTCTGTCTGTCCATCCCTAATGCTCAAGGGGTGGGGCTCCAGCCAGTGCTGCGCAGGGGGCGAATTGCCCATCAAGAACAATGGCAGGGATGGAGTGCTGCCATGACGGCAGGGATGGAGGGTCAGAGATGATAATGGGGACAGAACACCATCATGACAGCAGGGATGGAGTGTGAGTGTCTACAGAGCAAAGCCATTTCCAGTGAAAAACAATTCTGATCCTCATAAGAATATTAAAACCAAAAAAAAGAAAGAAAAGAGCTCCCTATTCTGACTTGATTAATGAGCAAGATACAGTAATCAAATACACTGTACTCTTGTCAGAAGAGAAGGCCCTAACAGCAAATGGAGGTGTGCCAGTGCGCATGTGCTTGCCTGGCAATTACAAGGCCCCTCCTAGCTAACAAACCAGTTTCAATGCAACCCAAGTTACCCTCTCTTTTTTACCTCGCCCCTATTTGTAGAAGCCATTAATGTAAACTAATAAAACATACATTTTCCTAAGTCTAAACACTTTAAGATTTAACCTTCAGATGCGAAAACCGTATAAGCCCCAAGAGACATCAACTTACTAATTAGTATCATTCTAAATTTCCTATTTAAAAAGAGCTTTGTCCCAGGCAGTCATTACCATCAATCACGTCTGCATAGTATATGGGATTCTATACTGTTAATGAATGCCAGCTTTAAAGAGTATCTAGAGAAAAACCCCATGGGGTTTCAGTGTCATACAAATCCATAACATTAGAACTTAAAGTAATAGCCAAACGGTACGCTGGGTAAATGCATTAGGAAATAAGCAAACACAGAAGCATATACTTCCTACTTGTAGTATTAGGGAAAACCAAAGGGGAAAAAAACAACTATTTGCTATATGTTACCAAGTCAGAAATCAGAGATGGAAGAAGCCCTGAAGTTATCAGTTTCCAGTTCCTTGCCACTGCACATGTGTTCTCCAAGGCTCTGTGCAGTCTAAATTTCCATATCCCACGGGGTTCCTACCTTCCCCACTTGGGCTGGTCTACAGCCCAAATATCATATACCAACCACTTATGGTCACTTCAGTTATGCAGAATTTCATCTGGACAATGCTCAACTCCCAGAAGGCCATTTAGAAGAATACTGTATTTACTCAGATCCAAGACAAGGTTTTTTCCCCATTCAAATTGGGGGGGAAAGCCCCTGGTCTTGGATTCAAGTACCAGGCTGGTAGGGAGCTATGGTTCTGACTCAAACCCACGTCAGGGCCAGAGTCAGAGTCAGAGCTAAAGACAAAGTTGAAGCCAAAGCCTCTGCAATCACCTGCCCCTTCCCACAGCCTCTGTCCCTCCCCACCACTTACTGTCTGTTGCAGCTTTGATCCCATTCCTCTTTGGGGCATGGCATACATGGTAGCTCCAGCCCTTTCTTGGTCATGCACCAGTGGCAGTACTGGCAGCAGATCCAGTGTCCTGCAGCTGGAGCAGCCACTACTGCAACTGCTGCTGAGTGGCCAGGACAGGCCAGAAGCTACCACGTGCTCTGTGTCCTAGACAGAAATGGGGTCAGAGCCGTGACTGACAGTAAACAGGAAAGGGAGGTGGGGGGTGAGATTGTGGGGGCAAGTGGCAGGAGGTTCAAGCACCACAGGAGGGGGGAGGCAGGCATTGCAGAGGGGCACAGGCGGTGAGGGGCAGGGATCAGGCCATTGCTGTCTCCTGTTCCCTGCCACTGCTTTTCCTGCTGTAGTAGTGGGGGGGATGAATTTAAGACAACCCCAATAATTAGATTCTGTACATGGAAAATTAGACCAAATTTATACGTTTTCTATGTATAGAACCTAATTATTGAGGGAGGGACTTCTTAAATTTGAAGTAATCTTGACTTCAGATAAATATGGTACATAAATTCCCAAACAGGCTTAGAAGAAAACTGTATATCCACCCTTGTGTATCATTGTATATCCTTGATTCATTGTATATTTAGCCACCCTATAGACTTTTCTGACTTGGTCTTCAACGCGAGTCTAGTACTCAAGCCACTCTCACAGTAATCCCACGTAAGTCACCAGTAGTGTCCATAATGGATTCAATTTTCCACCCCAGCTGGGTGAAGAATACTAATAAGCAGAACTGCATCCATTAATATTCAGGGACAAAATAATGCTGACTGTTGAAAGAGGGAACTGACTACTTACCTCATTTCAGCAACAATTTACAATGAATCAACTCTGCGGCAAACATAAAGCTTACTGCCCATCCAGCTGGGAGCTGAACTTGCTTGTTTGCTATAGGTCTCAGGTTTACAATTCAGAAATTTGGTTTCCATAAATAATCCTGGTGCTGCTAATTGCTTCAGTTGTAGAATAAAAACCATAACAATGAAATCCATTAGACAGTGAAACTGTTTCCTCAGGGAAACGCCCACCCCTAAAGAAGGTCAATGCACATGTGCACATAACAGGGGTAGTGAATCAGCACCTGTATCTAAAGACTACGCATTTATTACATTAGTTACAGGGCAACTATTTAACAATGCTTTGTGCATTTATGCACCTAACAGCTAAGGATCTCCAACCCATTAACTAACCGCTCAGGCCGTCATCCAAGTTGTGCCCTCACTTTACAGAAGGGTAAGACGAGTTGAAACAAAGAGTTAAAACTTTAAAACTAGCATCCACAAGTTCCAATCCACAGTCTACTGCCCTTGCCATCAGGATACACTATTTTTTTTGTTTGTTAAATCAAACCTTTCAGCCCTGATACAGCAGTCATGGAAAAATTATTTCCCCAGTGCCTTGTAGGAGAGGAGCAGGCTGCTTACCACCACAGGATGAGTCACCACGCTGCTGTCATGGCAACGCAGAAAGAACATCAATTCTGGATCTAAGCTAGGAACTGGCCTGAGATTTCCTTGGAGTTTAAAAATATGCCAACTCTTCTCTCATAAAAAGGCACTGTTGTTCTTTATAAAAACGTTTGGTTCTTGGTCGCCTGAGATACCAATATAAATCACAACTGCTGATATTTCCAACTGCAGACTTGAGATCTGTGATATGCTATAAAATAGCCAAGAAATGCATCACAATAGCTTCCTATCACCAAGAAATCAATTAATACGAAGAAGGCAGTAGGGAGAATTCTAAACCTAACAATGAATAAATCCTCAGTTAACATCCCAACCACATTTATTGTGCCCAACAAAAAATGTGGAGAGCGAGACTTAGCAAACTTGGTCGTTCAGAGCCAGGACACATTCTCTCCTGGTTGGGGTAATCAGGAAGTCACTGGCAGCTTCTCCAGTAGAGATGGAGGCAAGGAGCTAAGCGTGCCAAGCTCTCCTGATAAAATGGTAGCAGCAGCAGAAGCAGCTACACTTCACTTCAGCAAAGAAGAGTGAGTGGTAGAGTGGCTTTATGCCACCTGCTCCTAAGAGAGAACGGGCATTAGGGATAGAGGGCAGAGGTGCAGTAGGAGCTGACAAACAAAGATCTCCTGCAAGTTCAGGATAGCAAAGGGGCCCAGTGGAGGTTCCACACATCTAGAACTGAGAGACAGAAAAGGATT